TGATGAAGTTAGGTATGTCGATCACTCTACTACCCACCACCGTCAAGGACACAAAGAAGAAAAAGTTTCATCCTCTAAAAAATAGCATTACCGATAAAGACAAGGGATACTGGCATGGCCATTGTTGGCTTATAAGCAGTCCTCAGCTAGTCATACTCAACCCCGAAGTGTGGAACAGCCGAGGCTCGACTGGCAGTGGATATCTGGGCAGCTGTCTAAATAAATGCCTATATAGTGAGTGACCGATCTCATGAAATGTTGGCTGAAATTCTGAAATGTGTTTTCAATTAGGAAGGTTTACGTAGGTGGGGTTGAAAGATTCATTAACATGGGAATAAGTCCTAATTTATTTCGGACTCGGCAAGATGTCAGCTTTTGAATGGTCTACCTTTCAATCCTCTGTGTAAACCGTACTTGGTAAAAAATGACTACTTATCTGGCATGCATTTTCACAGTAGTTTTCGATGGCCTTGATAATTCAAGTATATTTTATGTAAATCTTCAACGCAAATATGCTTTCGTTTAGTCATCTGATAGAGAATCACATCGTCTTTATATTCTATACTTAAAAATGAGTATAATTAAGTTTAACAAGGTTTTTTCGAATAATTTGGAGCCTGACCAGCCGTTGCATTAGAGCTTAGTGATTTCAGTCTACAATGTGCATGTGTTCCCGTAAAAAAAGCACATATTCTTCTATGCCATTAAAAAAATAATATAGAGGGTTCATACAATTGTGCAATAGATGCGCATCATGTTGTATCTCTCATGAGGAGCTGTGATAAACGAACCGGTACGATGCTGTATGAATGGACATTGCACGGTTTTGAAAAATCTCATAATTATAAACGTTTTCAAAACCTAATTATACATTTCTTTGACCGTAAAATATAAGGACTACGTGATTCTCCATCAATCTACTGAAATAAAAATATTAATGTTTGTGGTTTCTATAAAATATATTTAAATTTGCAAGACCATCGAAAATCATTATAAAAAATGCTTGCTAAATGTGTGGTCATTTGCTACCGAATACGGTTTCGGCGGGAGATTTAAAAGCAGTGCATTCAAAAGCTGACGTCCTGTCGACTCTGAAGTATTATAGAGTTATGCCCCGAGAAAATCAGTTTTGCAATCGTGCTTTAGTAATCCTTCCTAATCGAAAACACATTTCAGAATTTAAGCCAAAAATTAATGAGATCCGTCACTCACTGTACTAAAGACATACGAAGGCCAGCGGTGAAAAAAAGAAAAAACGTGACATCTTTCATGTTTTTTCTACCTGAGAAACGCCTCCGAAGCCACTGGACCATTGCTAAGACCGCTAAATGTGGGAATTTGGCATCGACCGTAGGCCCCCATCCGCCGCATACCCATGCAGCCCAAGGAGAGGCTACCACCTTTCGAACATGTCAGGCGTCATTAACAGCGTGAAATGCCGAGACTGTCTTGTTACCTACGGTTGCATGATCGACAAACGGCTGAGAACGGGCAAACATGAGCACGCTTTATCCGTAAAGCAAAGGCTGTACGATCGCATATCGCCATGCACAGTCTAGAGAAGAATCACAGTTGTTCCACTTTGACGATGCCCCAGTGTTCGTCCGAGCCGATAGCAGAATGGAGAGAGAGGTAAGCAAAGTCGGGCAACCAGATGCCAACTCGGTCAACCGCATTATTCACCTACCAAGGCCATATGAGACCGGTAGGCAATCCCTGCGCGCAAGAGGTAGAAGCGATAAAAAAATAGCGGGATGGACCTATCAGGCATATGTGCGAATGATTTATTTATAAAACTAAGTAGTATAAGTTAAAGTCAAAGGTGTTCTTTGGGGAATGAAATTTTTCTGCGTAAAATTTTCGACGCCGGTTACCCAGGTCGTCGGCAGACGCAGACGGAGAGCAAATGTGACGACATCATTTAACATGTGGCAATGCACTTGAAAATCGATAATTTTTCGCGCTTGCGCCAACGAGCGGCTGATGTAACACTAAATCTCCGTATCAGAATAGCGTTACCGAGAAAGACAAGGTAGACTGGAATGACCATTTATGACTTATTAGCAGTCATCAGCCAGTCATACCCAACCTTCAAGTGTGCGACACCTGGGGCCAGAAGTCTATCGTACCTAGCCACTGAGTCACGGGCACATCGTCCTATCGGATGCGATCGGGTAAAACAATGTTAGAAGGGCGCTCACTGATCGCACTACGGAAATCACTCGTCCCATTGTGCCCTTATGCACTCTCTCTCTCAAGGCCCGCTTAGACTCACACTGCGACGCATGAGGTAGGCAGAAAAACGCCACCAACAAAGTCATGGATGACTGTTAAGCACCTCGCGGTCGGGTATGACTGGCTGACGATTGTTAAGAAGCCTGAAGCAGTCATTCTCGCCTCCCTTGTCTTCGCCGGTAATGTTATAATGCTTATATTACCCGCCGCCAGGCGGCAGTTGACGGGGCTTACCTTAAGGTACGACGGGACGAGTAAATTCCGCAGTTCGACCAGTGAGCGCCATTCTACAGTTAACGATCTGCTGAAAACTTTGATTTCGGTAGACATAAAAGTTTTAGATTTCAATGATTTAGTACTGTTAGTTACAAAACAGTTAAAGTCAATGCCAGCTCTGCGGAGCTGAAAGGGTATTTACTTTCAGATAACTAGTGAATAGAGTTAGGTTTGGAGCAGAATTATCGCCGCCTATCATTGCTGCTGACGAGAACTCATTCCTCAATCCAAATCTGTACTCGGTACAAATGGTCAAGCTTGTTATATTAAGGGAGAAAATATGTTTCAGTGAGAATGTCATAAAGACTACTAATGATTTTAGGCAGTGTGACTAAGTCGAAAATAAAATTAACCCGCTGAAACATCCGCCACGTTAAAAGAATCATAGAGACAACTGCTTCGTGAGTCATACCATGCTTCATGTCCGATTCAGGATATCTGCCTTGCCATCCACCAAAATGTTAGTAAAATCTATTAAGGATTACGGGACTTCGTGGGGACAGCAGTGGTCTCCTGGTCACTTACTCATCTAACAGCTCATTCGGACGACAACATGAAGTGGTTGTTAGGCCACATCGTTCTAAGAAAGATATCAATAAAACACCAAAAGTAAGTAACATAATGGGTTACCGCCGGAAGTCTTTCTGCACGCTTACGTCAAATTAATTCAAGTGAAAATACAGTGTTTCCTTCCTTTTGCGCCGTTCTAAAGGCGGGAGTTTTTTGAGCGAGATAGTCGCAGGACAATCACAAACTGGAAAAATTTTGGGAACGAAATATCTCGAGTCTTTTGGAACTGGTATTTATGAGCCTATCCTGATTCCATAGTCATCGCAAAGCCGCAATGACCACTTCACGTTAAAATTAAACTGACGGGTCCAAAGTCTTTATTGGCCGCCAACAGGTGATTACTTGTTTAAACGTGCTTGCTTAACGGAGCTTGAAGTGGAGCCCAGTGATTAATTAGGCATTTACTCGCTATCACGTTAAAGTACCTAAATGGCCTTTTGTAGACGGAGGCCGTGGGTATGGAGACTAGGTCTCACCGTGCTTCTCTGGTTACAGAAAGCATTGCCTTCGTTACCTGGAGCTCTGGATCTAAGATTCGTTTAGCTGACATAATCAGCGATATGTGTTACCGACACCGTCGTGATTTCTATTGGTTTATTAGGCAATGGTTCGAAAGACTGTGCACACGACTGAATTCCAACCGACGTAGGCATATCAGGGTGAGTTAAGTGGGCAGAATGATGGACTCAAAATATCGGTAACCCACTGCATTGCGACGTCTAGGTTTGCTATATTAACGGATAGCGAAGGCTTCGTTGCATAATACCTCTATTCAGTACGCTATTTGATCGCTAATTGTGTGCCACAGCTGTCTGTGCCGCAGATGCGCTGAAGCAAAAGAGGGATCAGATTGACTCGCAACAGTCGTTTACTGGGCTGTGCTGAGTTTGCGCGAGTTGATAACTATTGCTGTACATGAGCGTTGGGCACTCCATGGACACAGGCCTGGAGACCGCGTCAGTCACTGTGCACGATTCCACCACCCGTCTGTTAATAGACATGAACAGTCGTCCAGTACACACACGACGGCTGGGAATGTGAGAGCGACACAAGGGATTTCACTCCCATTAAGTTTCAGCCAATTTCCCTATTCAAGAAGTCTAACAGGTTACGTGTCGTGGTTCGGAAGGTAGCCAATAAAGGGGATAGCTCGGTCTTCCTCAAGCTGAAATGGCTGCTTCAGACTGTGGCAGCTACAGTGAGTGACCGATCTCATGAATTTTGGCTGAAATTCTGAAATGCGTTTTCGATTAGGAAGGATGGTTTAGGCGAGGTTGTAATACTGATTATTTTGTGGCAAACTCATAATATTTCTGACTGGGCAGGATGCCTGCATTTCAATAAACTGCTTTTCAATCTCCCGTAGAAGCCGTACTAGGTAAATAATGACTACTTAGTTAGCACGCATTTTATGGACTGCTTGTTGATGGTCTTGCAAATTCAAATATATTTTATAGACAGCATGCAAAAAATATGCTTTCTAATAGAAGCGAACAGGCGAGTCCCAGGTAGCAGTTCAGAAGATGAAGATGCGATCACTGGGACAGGAAGTTTATTTGCCTGACGTTTCGGATTCTCACTCGAATCCATCATCAGAGACATTCGCAGATAGAGGTGAAGGTGGCACCAGGAGTGCAGTATTTATAGCACGTGGCTGCCGTGGGACCGTATGCGCACTGCAATTAACAGTTCTCACAATCGCCGCTGGGGTCGTAATTGATGCGGCGGTGGCTTGGCGGTCCGAGACCGAGTTGTTAATTGCCGCGGTTTCGTCATCCGTGCTGGATGCTGGTGTGACGATTGCTCGGCAAACTGGCTCACTGTCACCGTGATAATTGCTCACCGTGCGCATACGGTCCCACGGCAGCCACGTGCTATAAATACTGCACTCCTTGTGCCACCTTCACCTCTATCTGCGAATGTCTCTGATGATGGATTCGAGTGAGAATCCGAAACGTCAGGCAAATAAAATTCTTGTCCCATTGATCGCATCTTCATCTTCTGAACTGCTACCTGGGACTCGCCTGTTCGCTTCTATCAGCAATCTTTTTGGGCGCGAAGCGCTCCGATCGGCTCGATGGTGGGAAACCTTTGCCCTTCGAGAGTCGTCAACATATGCGCAGATTCGATTTCTGCACAGGTGTCTCGACAACAATGTGCTGCCGAAGTGCGTTTCATACAAACCTCCGGTCAACACAGAGCTGGCGAGACGCGCAGTACTTCAGCACGGCCGACGAATGATCCGAGTGCTCCTGAAAGACTGTAACTCACGGATTCGCAAATACCGTCAGAGGATTGACCAAGAGAAAGCAAGGTGCTGCGAGTTCATGGGCGAGGACGGCATAAAACTGCTTCAGCAGAGGCTGGCCGAACGAACCCGCGAACATAAAGCAACGCGAGAAGCAGCCCTAGAGAGCAAATTTCGTAAGCTGCCTGCTCCAATGTCATCCAAGAACGACAAACTGGTGCACAACTTGTCGTCAAAGGAGCTGACGGAGGAACAAATGCAGGTTTTACGGCATGAGGCCTCATTCAACACAGCCGATGCCAAACCTGCCAACATGATCGCAGCAGTGGAATCAATCCTCAGCCAGACGGGAGCGACAGACGAAACGAAGAACCTCATTCGACACCAAGTGTCCTCCCTCTTCATGGCTCATAGGCCGCGCGATGTGCTTTCCAAGGTCGAGCGCGATGCACTTAAGGAACTCAGGGCCGACAACGACCTCGTTATCGTGCCTGCGGACAAGGGGCGTTCAACGGTCGTATTGGACAGGACAGACTACAATCAAAAAGCCAAAAGCTTGTTGGAGGATCGTCAGTCCTATGTCCCATGCGAATCCAACCCCATGAAAACGCTGACACGCGAGACTAACGCGACGCTGTTGGCAATGGAGAACACAGGTGCAATATTGCCAATCGACCGACGCATGGCGAGAGAACAAGAAACGGCCCTAGCCCGATTCTACGGTCTCCCAAAAGTGCACAAAGAGGACGCTCCTCTCCGGCCTATCGTATCACTAAAGGGCACTCCAACCTACGGACTGGCAAAGTAGCTGTTCCAACGTCTCAAGTTTCTGACCTCCGATTCGAACACCACAGTCAGCTCGTCAACGCAATTCTTGGAGAAACTTAAAAGAGTAAGTCTCCTGCCAAGCGATATCATGGTTTCCTCGGATGTCACGTCCCTTTTTACTTCTATCCCGCAGGACCTGGCAGTCGAGACAATCGAACTACTCCTACGAGAGAAGTACGACGAAACGGAGAATCGCCTCGGACACGCCCAAATCATCCAGCTCCTGAAGTTCTGTCTCAAGACGTACTTTACATTCGACGGAACAATCTGCGAGCAGGTGAAGGGAACGCCAATGGGTTTGTCGACTTCGGGACTCATAGCCGAGGCAGTCCTTCAACGGCTGAAGTCGCTGGTTTTCCGACACCACAGACCGAAATTCTGGGCTCGGTATGTGGATGACATCTTCGTCGTCATCGAACGGGATCAGGTGCTGACTTTCAAAGAACCACTCAACGCCGTCTTCCCGGACATTCAATTTACGATGGAGGAGGAGGAGGAGGAAAACAATCAGCTGGCCTTCCTGGATGTCCTCGTCTGCCGCAAAGATTGTGGTGGCCTAAAAACCAAAGTGTTCAGGAAAGCGACAAATACGACGCAAATACTGAACTTCAATAGCAACCACCCGATCAGTCACAAACGCAGTTGCGTAAGGGCGCTATACCGGCGTGTTGAGACGCTCTGCAGTGAAATGGAAGACAAGGTTGCTGAATTACAATATCTTCGACGGGTAATGAGAGCCAATGACTACCCGCGCAGCTTTGTCAACCGGTGCATACGAAAAGGACACCAAAGACCAAATCCAACTAGCCCCAAATTTTGGCGGACTCTTCCGTACGTGAAGAACGTCTCGGAAGCCGTCAGTCGTCTTCTCACTCCACTTGGAGTTGGGGTTGCACACAGGCCGGAAGCAACCATTAGGCGCCAAGTAATAAGGCCAAAACACCCGCTGCCACGGCAGGAAACGTCCGGAGTCGTTTACCGGATCTGGTGTAGTTGCGGACAAAGCAATTATGTCGGAGAAACTGGGAGATTACTCCGTACGCGACTTGCCGAGCACGCAGCAGCAGTGAGGCGGGGGGACGCTAACTCTCAGGTGGCGGCACACTCGACGGGACCCGGCCATATTTTCAAATTTCAAGAGGCCGAAATCCTCGCAAGGGGTGACAACCGCGTGAGCCGCGAGCTGCTCGAGTCATGTTTCTCAGGCCCGCAATCCATCAACAAACACAATGACCTCCCGGTGCCCTATTCCGTATTGCGATTTTCCCTGGGCGGGAGAATCAGTCACGTGGGGAGGGCGCGAGTGAGCAATTATCACGGTGACAGTGAGCCAGTTTGCCGAGCAATCGTCACACCAGCATCCAGCACGGATGACGAAATCGCGGCCATTAACAACTCGGACTCGGACCGCCAAGCCACCGCCGCATCAATTACGACCCCAGCGGCGATTGTGAGAACTGTTAATTGCAGTGCGCATACGGTCCCACGGCAGCCACGTGCTATAAATACTGCACTCCTGTTGCCACCTTCACCTCTATCTGCGAATGTTTCTGATGATGGATTCGAGTGAGAATCCGAAAGGTCAGGCAAATAAACTTCCTGTCCCAGTGATCGCATCTTTATCTTCTGTATATGCTTTCTTTTAGTCGTTTGGTTGAGAATCACGTCTTATGTATATTTTATACTCGAAAATTAGTATAATTGGATTTTAAAATGTTTTGTAATTGTGAGATTGTTTAAGGTCGCGCAATGTCCATTCACATAGCATCGTACGTGGCCGTTAACCACAGCTCCGCATGAAATGTACTACATAGTCCGCATCCATTGCAAGAATTTATGGACTCTATATGGTATCTTTAAATGGGATATAAAATATATGAGATTCTTCATACGGAACGCATACACATTGCCGAGAGAAATAACTAAACGCTAACGTAACGACTTATCAGGCTCTAAATTGTCTGGGAATTAGAAATGTTTTTAAAAATCTAATTATATTTCTTCTTAAAGTAAAAACTATGAAGAAGACGTGATTCTCTATCAAACGACTGAAAAAAGCATATTTTTGCTCATTGTTACTATAAGATATATTTGAATTTGCAAGACCATCGGAAATCAATCAGTAAAATGCATGCTACTTACGTAGTCATTTTTTACCTAGTACGGTTTCTACAGAAGACTAAAAAGCAGTGCATTCAGAAGTTGACATCCTACCGAATCCGAAGTATTATAGAGTAATGCCACAAGATAATCAGTATTACAGCCGCTCCTAAACCATCCTTCCTAATCGAAACCGCATTTCAGAATTTCAGCTAATATTTCATGAGATCGGTCACTCACTGTATAACGCTCAAATGCAGTCCCCACAACAAGCTGGTACTGTCGTGTGCGCCATGTCGCGTGCGTTGCATTCGTATGCGGACAGCTCAACCTTCGCAGCTGTTGTACCGGTGCCAATCTCAGGTTGCTTGAAACAGATTTGTCATCGTATTCGGGTGTGCAGGGGAGGAGCGAGGATGGAGATGTTGCTAAAAAAACCTCTCTGTAAACCTATTTCCAAGCAAGTCGGTGATGCTGCAGATGCTGCGTCGGACAAACGGTGATGATCGCCGTTTGCAACGACCAGACTTTCGAACCATCAACTGTTCGCCGTTGGATGAAAAAGTGAATTGTCTGTGTATCCATATCTGTATATATCTGTGACACGGGATTGACTATTTCTGCCATCCGGTTGGGGATCCAGATCTAACTGGCGCTCTTTTATAACTTTTCATCATTGAGAGAAATACCCAATGACTTACTGGGACCGAAGTCAAACTTTTAAACAAACTTCCCCTAGATTTCTCTTCTTATTTCATTCGTTTTTCCTACTTCTAAATTATTTTTCCTGCATAAAATCCACTTGAGCTGATTGCCTTAATTCTGCAGAAACACGATACGTTTTCAATGATCATTTGCGGAAAGCAAATTTTCCAAAACATTAAAATGACACGTACTGAAGAAAAACATTAAGACAGCGAGAATAAGTAAGGAAATAACTCAGAACCATGCAATGACAACCCTGAAATCCACTAATGCATACAGAAGAATCACAGAAAACAGCGGATGAGGAATTAGTAAGGAAACCGATCGAAGAACGTGCATTTCTGGAGTCAAATTGTACGATATGTACCCATATGGAATGTTGTTGGTCGCAGTTGCGAGTTGCTGAATCATGATGTTGCTTAGAGTACTGGTTAGTCCTGTAACGTTAATTGTCGGAAGCAGAAGTTGTTGAACCTGTTTACCCTTTATGTCAAGTTGATTTAAGTGGGTTGCGTCTTTGGAACTCACCGAAAGCCGTATGACCTCAAATATCTGATTGGCTGAAGTGGAGCGAGGATTCAAACGGTCAGACACGGAGATATGGACTCCTGTACTACAGTTTGCCATGGCCTAAATTTTGGCGCTAACTGTCAGGGCAAATGTTGATGTTAATTCATGGTAAGGAACGGAAATCTGTCCTGACTGGTACACAATTGTCATTTTCATGCTACTATTGATCTCAGCAGGCGTAGTACTACTTGTGTATTCTTTCAGATCGAGGTGCTTCGCGGAATACTGTGATTATGATTCCCAGTTACGCCAGGTTTCGGGTTTTATGCTTAGAATTTTATACGCTGGGCTAAAATTAAGGTCTGGGTTCGAGTTTTGGGGTTTATTATTGGTATTACTTTTTAGGGAGTCATTCGGCACCCACTTCCCACAACTTTCGTCCACAGCTTACGCCTTATTGGTCACATTCTGGGGGGGTTCAGTTTCAATGACATTGACGGGGCCATTTTTCGTGGAACTGTTTTTTCTGGTTAACAGCAGTGAATATGCGAATTGCACGGTGTTCAGACTGAGATTTATTAATAACCAAAACAAACAAGCATATTTACCTATAATGCTTGCATAATCCCTTACTTTTGGCACATTCTTTACTGTTTTCTCGCAGCCCCATTAGTAAAGGCCCTTTCAGCACGGTTTCCGTGCCAGACGCGTCTGGGCTTCCCCATTTCCTGGCAGGGCTGAGTTTCCTAACCTTGCCCAGTTTTCTGCTAAAGTTAATGTTGATACTCGGAAAATGTACCCCTTTCTTGCCGAGCTATCTTGAGCTATCTATGTTCCCAGATAGATCGACTGATCTGAAAGGAGACATTTTCAACAAAACATGGAAATATTTCCGTTAAGATTTTCGTCCAGTGATGTCCGATGCCGAATTTCCCATCTTTGCTTTTTGTACTTAATTCATGGTTTGTAAATCTGACGAATCCTCTTGATGAATTTTAGTTTCGGAGAACTTGTCAGTCTGTTTGGCTGCCTATATTTATGAAACAAATGATGTCTAATGCTGTAGAGATATTTAAAAATTGCCTTTGTTAACTTCATGAGTCTAGGGTAAAATTCTTTAAAAAATACCCACGTAACTAGGAGGTTCAGGGCCACTCTTTCCAAATGGATTCGGCTCAAACGGTAGAAAATATGAGAAGATTACTCAACTCAGTTTACTAACTGACTGCCATTTCATGAACTCAGGTTTGTCGTTCAGTGCTGGGCAAGGCCAAGTCTTTCGAAAAGGCAGTTAATTAACACGCCTTTGCATTTGTGCACCTCTTGAATTCAGGCACTGTCACGCAGTCTCGGAGAGCCTGGAAAAATACGCAGTTTTACACAAAACGGCACTTGATTCAGTGGTCCTAATGCCATCGATGGTCTTGCAGTTCAACAATATCCCGAGTGACAGCAATCAATAAACAACAGGCGCTTGCAGCTTGCAGCGGTTGCGGTGCGTTCCGCCCGTCTTTTCTTGGCTCTTACACGTCCAACGTATTGCAGTTCCATGGGTTTAGCTGATAACTCACAAACGTCTCTGATCGGCGTCATTGCTCATCATCTTTTCCCTACATTTGGCAGTACTGACGGCTAATGATCCTTTGCTGTTTGTCTAAAATTCGTCTCAGCGACGATCCGTCGGAGAAAATCTCGGGGTTCCTTTCTCATCCTTCCCTGTTTTGCCTCTTACCTCAGCGATAATCTCTGGCACAGAGTCTACTGCAAACAGCGATGCTTATCCATCATTTGTTAAGTCTTAGTGCTTTGATGAACAGGTAGCTTGTAGTGTCTATGAAGAGTGGCGGACGTATAGCAGTTCGCTTAAATCCAACTCACAATACTATTTTAATCGCGTTAACGTTTCATCTCCAACGCAGAAATATAGTTCAGGGGCTAACGTAGATGTACTAGCTCATGAAATGTCATCCGGCTTCTGCAATGTGTTTTCGACTCAAGAGATTACTTAAGTAGGGTTGTAATATTACCTACCATGCAGCATATCCCCATGATAATTCAGTTGCTTCAGGATGTCAGCTTTTGAATGAACTTCTTTCCGGCTGCCAGTAAAACCTGCATCCTACAAAAAGTGGCTACTTAAAGAGTGTGGCTTGTTCTCATTGATTTTCGATGCTCTTAAAAATTCAGGTATACTTTATGGAAAAAATGCATAAAATATCCATTCTTTTCGTCTTAGTCAAATTGTATACTTGAAGAAAGGGTATAGTTCGGTTTTCAAAAGTTTCCCAATTCCAAAGTAATTTGGAACCCAACCTGCCATTATACTGGCATTCGGAGTTTCTTAACTACGAGTTGCATATGTTCCGTGTACAAAAACCATACATGTATCTACGGTATTAAGAGGAAGCCATATAGAGTTAAAAACATTTAGCAGCGGATTTGAGTCAAATTGCAAACTTAACGATCAAGATTAGTGAATGCAGAGGAAGGATGCTTGATGAACGTCCATTTCACGGTCATAAAAACTCCCATAATAAGAAACTGTTTTAAAACCCAAAAATGACCTTTCTCCAAGTGTAAAATTTGTAGATGTTATTTACTACCAAGGATGTCAAAAATGAATATTTTATGCATGTTCTCTATAACGGTTATTTGAATTTATAAGAACGTTGAAAATCGAAGATAAAAGTCGCACTATTTCAGTAGCCACTTCTTGTAGAACAAGTTTTGCTGACAGCCGGAAAGACGTTCGTTCACAAGCTGGCATCCTGAAGCAACTAAAGTATTGTGGGGTTATGTTGCATATTAATGAAACTTACAACCCCACTTGAGTAATCATTTCGGGCCGGAAAAGACATTTCAGAATTTCGGTCGACATGCCATGAATAAGCACACCTACTGTATATTCAAACAAACATTTTAAAAATAAAAATACATGGTAAGTAAACGTTTGATCAGAAACTTTCATTCATTCTGGCATTTTCTCTTAGTCTTAATGAACATAGAGAACTGCAGCGTTCCATTTGATCTTCTTACCTGTCTTCACTTTTCAATGGTGCCTGAGACCACCCAATGATTGCCTCTAGGATAAATACGCTGAAAGTGTGCTTGTTGGCCACGATAATGGAAACAAGAATTGCCTCCAGTTTGTGAAGGTCGGCTTTAATCATTCCTCTCTTTAATCTTTCAAAAGCAGTCTTATATTTCAAAAAAGAATTATGCGAGCATACGGTAGTTTTAGATAAATCCACTTCAGGCCTGCACATTTATTCTGCCATCGGAGTGATTAACAAGATCAGAAGGCAGTCCTGTGTGAGTTTCTACTGGGACCCTCTCCCATTCCAGGATCCTCAGATGTTCCTCCTAGTAGATGGATGCTGATGTGTCCTCATGTTGGCAAAACTGACCACCTACCTTCCTCACACACATTTTAGCCCTTGATCTGGAGATTTGTAGGCGCTTGCATTCTGATTTTTAGTCTATGCTGTTATCCTGTTATTCATCCTACTATAATGATAGAGATAGATATAATGTTAACTTGGGAACTTGTCCTTCTAATATTCGCTTTTGCTGCGGGTATTTCTTATGTCTTTTGGCTGGCATAACAGTACGACGACATTTCACAAGGGCCAGGCATTTTGCTGCTTGAATTATGAATGACGTTATGTATCCCCCTAATTAATTGTTGCGAAGTTTTTTCTGCTCCATACGTCTTGCCGTAAATGCGTATATCTGACACGATATCCTACAGTGAATGCGCTATCTCGCGAAACGTCAATCGAAATTCTGAAATGTGTCTTTGACTAGAAAATACCAGTAAAGTGGTTTGTGAGACATATTGTTGCGTAGTATGATCACGAAATATTTTAGTCACAGCGAGATGCCGGCCTGTGAGCAAGCTTTTTTTCAGCCGTTCAAGGAAACTAAATTATTTGGAAAATGGCTACTTAAGTAATGTATATTTTTCCATTGTCAACAGCGTGAGATTAGCGGGACGCTATTGGCGATGGAGAATTGGACGGACCGACCGACGCATGGAGAGAACGCAAGAAACGGTCCTGACCCAATTCTACGGTCTCCCAAAAGTGCATAAGAGGAGCTCTTCTCCCCGGCCAATCCTGTCACTAAAACACATTCCAACCCTTGGACTAGCCAATTTGCTGTTTCAACGTCCCAAGTTCCTGACCACAGTCAGCTCTTCAATGCAGTTCTTGGAGAAACTAAAATCTCTTGTCAAACGACGCCATGGAATCATTTGATGTCACGTTCCTTTTTACTTCTCTCCCGCAGGACCTGTCAGCCGAGAGCATCAAACTACTCCAGCGAGAAAAATACGATGAAACGAAGAATTGCCTCGGATACTCCATAGGCTTCATCACCTGAGGTTTTATCTTAAGACATGCTTAAGGTCCGACGGAACAATCTACGAGGTCACGCCGATGGGTTCGCCAGTTTCAGGGCTCATAACCGTGGCTCTTCTACAGCGACTGGGGTCGTTGCTTTCCCAACACCACTGTTTAAAATTCTGTTTTCGGTATGTGCATGGTACCCTTGTCGTCATCGAATGGGATCAGGTCCTGGCATTAAAAGAATGTCTCAAGGCCGTCTTCCCGGACATTTCATCTACGCAGGAGGGGAAAGAAAACAGCCGGCTGGCATTTCTAGATGCCAACGTCGCCGGAGAGTTTGTGATGGCCTAAAAGCAAAGTATTCAAGAAGCGACAAATGCGATGCAAATACTGAACTTCAACGTCAACCACGCAACCAGTCACAAACGCAAGGGCGCAATATCGGCGCGTTCGGACGCGTGGCATTGAAGCCGTAGGCGCATTTTCTGAACATCCGAAGGGTACTGAGTTCTGATGGTTGCCTGTGTAATTTTGTCAATCAGTGCATGCGCAAGCAATGCCAGAAACCATATCCGACCAACCTTTATTGTTGGTGAACTCTTTCGTACTAGAGGAACGTCTCAGAAGGCATCAGTCACCTTTCACTCCACTTGGGACCGGGGTCGCACGTAGGTCGGCGGCAACGATCAGGCGCCAGGTCATGGGACCGAAAGACCGAACACCATGGCAGGAAACGTCTGGAGTTAATTACTTGATCTGGGGCATTTACGGGCAGAGAAACTACGACAAAGAAACCATGAGACAACTTCTGACTCGAAGGACCGAACACGCAGCGGCAGCGGCAGTGAAAGGGGAAGACGCTGGCCTTCAGGCGGCGGCTTATTCGGTGGGACCTGGTCATATTCTCAAGTTTCAAGTGGCCGATATCCTCACAGAGGTGACAACCGCGTGAGCCGCACGACTTGCGGTTCTCAGTCTATCAACAAGCGCAATTGCCTGCTATCATTTCCGTGCCGAGAATTTCCTCGAGTAGGGGAATCTGTCATGTGGGGATCGTGAGAGCGAGCAACAATTCCAGTGACAACGAGACGAACTGCCTAGTCATTATCCCGCTAACATTCAGCACGGATGATGCCATCGCGTCCGTCAACGACTCAGACGCGGACTGACAAACCACTATTGCAGCCATTACGACCCCGAGCGGTGATCGCGAATGCTGCTTACTATAGTACGCATTTGGCCCAAAGGCAGCTACGTGCTACAAATACTGCAATACTTGTGTCTTCAAAACCCTTATTTGAATCTGTCACTGATGGTTGGTTCGAGTGAGATTCCGAAATGTAAGGCCAGAAAACTTCCCATCCCGGCGATCACATTCTCATCTTCTTTATCAACCTCTTGTTATCGAACACACTTTTCAGAATTTCGGTTAAAATTTCATGGCGTAGCACATATGCTGTAAATGCAAAGAGACTGATGTACAGAAACCGAAATTCGAACTGTCCACAGGGTAATTATACAGTCTTAGGTAAGCCCAAGCTGAAAATGTCTGTCTGTTGTTTGGCATAAGTCTATTAATGACGGTGCATGCTCACTGTTCTAATGCCAAGAAGTCCGATAACAGCTGAGTATCTGTCAAATGCTCGCAGGAGTACTGCGCGAACATTCCACTACGCATGCAGAATGCATGCTTACCTATACTTTCATTTCTCAGGGCAAGCAAGCCCAAAATAGGCAGCTAGACTGAACTCGAACAAGTTATTTTATGAAAGGGGTGGCCACAGGAGTTCAGGTGTCCGCACAAACATGCCCTCACCTACAGCCCTGACAGAGTTAAGATTGGCTGATTGAAGTTAGGATAAGTTCGAAGCCGGTCTGAATACATCTACCTCCATCCTCTGTCATCGCATCATCTGCAATTCATTATGCCTTCCTGTTTATCAGTGCTGCATTCCTTACCTCACGATCATTGCATGCATTTAGAATGCTGATGAAATCTCAAAGCACATACATCGTATACCAAATTGTCGGTTTCGTTGTGTAAAGCCATTCACCTTGGACGTAAAGTAAATGTGCTAACTTATGAAATGTCAGCGGAAATTCTGAGATACGCTCTCGACTTGAAAATATGACGTAAGTAAGTTTGTAATATAAATCCCCATGCAGCATAATCCCGTGATAATTCAGTTACTTTAGGATGTTGCCTTTGGAACGAACTTTTCTCCGGCCGTCTACAGAAACTACACTGTAAAGCCGACCACTTCAATGGCCCGAATTTTCCTCGTTGATTTTCGATGTCCTTCGTAATTCAAATTAATTTCATGGTAAACATGCATAAAAATATTCACTAGTTTACTCATTTGGTAGAAAATTATGCATTCTTCACAATTGTCGCTTAAAAGAAGGGTATAATTCAGTTTCAATAAACTTTTCCATTTCCCGAATAATTCTAAACCAGATCTACAGTTACACCAACATTCCGGTCTTCAAAACTACAAGCTGTATACTATCTGTGCACGGAAAATCATACATTTCTATACGGCAACTATGTCGGAGATACTGCAAAACAGCTCCGAACGCGAATGGCCGGGCACGCTGCAGCCGCGTAAAGAAATGAAGCTAGCTCTCAAATTGCGGCTCATTTGACGAGATCCGGTTACACATTCAAATTCGTCGAGACCGAAATTATCGCTAGAGCTGACAACCACGTGAGCGGCTAGCTGCTCAAGTCATGCTTCACTGGCCCCAGTCCATTAACAATTGCAACAACCTCCCCATTCCACACTCGGAGCTAAGGCTTCGCCTAGGCGGAGTAATTATACACCATGGCAGCGTACAGGCTAACACTCTTCCCAAAGCCAGGATCTGCGGGTCAAATGGTCGGGAAATTATCACACCAACATCCAACACGTGATGAGATTGCAACAATTAACGACGCGTATACTGGCCATTAAACAGTAATCACATCGAGTGCAACGATCCCTGAGGAAAGTGTGGAGCCGTGAATATTCATAGGAATGTGATAGCATGGCGACTGTATTCCCTGACGCATGAATCACCCGTATCTGTTGTTGTCTCTGATGATGGGTTCGAGCAGGAATCCGAAACTTCAGACTAATAAAGCTTTTGTCCCAGCGATCGTATCTTCTTCTTCGCACGATGTTTTAGATATAGGCATTTGGCGGTCTTAAAAAAGCATATAACCTTATATCCTGTTTACAATTAGAATGATCATTACCAATGTAAGTGTGTCGGCCTGATTTTGAGTTACCGAAAACATATGTTCGTCAATTGACTCTCTAATTTTAAATCTTTTTAAACCCGAATTATGTCCTTCATTCAAGCGGACCTTTTTAAGAAGACAGAAGTTCCTACCAAATGAGTAAATAATGAAGTATTTGCATACGGTCTCCATGAAATACATTTGTATTTATAAGGGCATTAAAATGATGCGAAAAATGCATCCTACATACGTAGCCATTTCTCACAGAGTTTAAATTTTTGCAGACGGCCGAAAAGAAGCTCGTTCAAAAGCCAGCATCCTGAAGTAACTGAATTATCATGGGATTGTGTCGCATGGTGGTTAATATTGCAACCCTACTTAAGTAATCTTTTGAAGTCACTAACCCATTTCATAATTTTGGCTAGAATTCTATGAGTTAGCATATCTACCCTAATTTTCTGGAAGTAACAACGGACTCAGTGACTGTGTGACTGTCATTCATAACCCCAGCAAGTGACCACGGTCTGCACCAATGCACATTGTACTCAAGGCTAAACCGGAAGTAAGGGGAGACAAAGGTCTGCGACCTCGAGGTGCGGGGAGAGGTCTCCCAACCCACCTCTCCCCTCCGGGGCTGTCTAGAAAACCGCAAATCCTGTTGATTCTATTGTTAGAATTCATTTGGTTGAAACAACCCTCGCTATACGCGAGCCAAATTTTCAAAAAAGACACAGGTGACTGCGCAGTGACATAAAGAAAGAAGATTGCGGGGTTCTTCCAGTCTGACCGACTTCTCGCATTTCATTCTAAACGGAAAGGACGTCTCCAATAGGGAAACAATGCTCAACATTGGTCGGTTTTTGTAGAAAACAGAGAGAGAGGCATTCCTCTATGATCGCCAAATGCCTCCAATTTCGCAAAATGAGTGCCTTCCCCTTCCACCTCAAAGCCACCAGACGTCACTTTGGGCGTGACCAACAGGCAGACGGCGTCGTATGTCAGGAGGGTTTGCCTGTTAAACCTTAAAACCGACTGAAGGCAGAAAGGCAACGAAGGGGGGGAGGCACAGCTGGATATCAAGCAAAAAATCCCTAGGGACCGGCTTGAGATTATTAGCCTGCTGAAAAGCAATCCTTTGCTTAAGGAGCATAAAGATCTTTGAGCCCCCTGTGGAGACAATTGCAAAATTAGTTCTTAACCGTCAGACCTCTGTGGCGTGCGCATTTTACACGAATATCACGAAGTGATCGTCAAAAAAGCATGCTCAGCACTTTCTCGAGAAGAGAGTTCGGGCAGTCTTCAAATTTTCTGGAGGGTTTGACTAAAACGCACAACGATCAGAATGGCTCGTTGTCCTATGAAAAAGGAAACATACATGGTCAGACAATAGCAATGGCTGTTGGGGGAACTTGCATGGGAAATTACTAGCGCTAAATGTGTATTTGATGGAGTGTTTACCGACTGGGTGACAAAACACGCTCAGTATTAAGTTCAGAAACTGTTGAGTACAAGCCGTAGGGTAACATGTATGGAAAATGACTTTTTAGGGCCAGACCCCGAATGGCAATGAGTATTTGAGTCGAAGATAATAAACTACGAAGGAAAACCGGGTAATATTTACTCTGCAAACAAGTACTGTTATTAGTAGTATAATTTCCCAGAACAGTCAGTCACGTCGTACACCCGATATAGGCACTAGCTAAAAGTCAAACCGCTCGTTTCGCGGATGTTTCTGCTGCTGCATAATGCAGCTTTGAGGGATTCGGCCCCTACTACGGTCTCCAAGCCTTCTCTAGGCGGTTTCTGGTTGG